AGGTAAAAAGAGGGCTGAATTAATTTTCAAATCCACTAACTATACCAGCTGTGGGATCTAGATATGGTCAGCAGAGGGACCAGATGCAAGATCAAGGGAAAAGCGGGGGTGGGGAGAGGTGGCCACCAGAGTGTCTTCTTGGCTAGAAGCTGGGGGCGGCTTCTCTTCATGGCTGCAAAACATGTTTTCCTAAAAGGCGATTTTACCCCAAATGTAGCTGACATTTTCTTTTCCCTTTAGGCTCTGACTACAAAAAGGTACTTTAAAGATTTATTTAAACAGTAAGCAAGTGGGTGAAAGATTTCTCAGTTACATGTCTAGCATTAAAACACAGGGTGAAGGAACCTGGAACTAAGCTGGAATCTTAACCAAACTATTATTAGTGACCTCGAGGTGCTGTGACGGAGGCAGCTGCAGCGCAGCCCCCAGGGTTTATGGGGACAGCAGTACTCCACGGCTAGAAAAACATCCTGACAACAAAGAGATGTCAACCTGACTGAACTTCCCAATGTCTTTCACCAGTGATCTACACAGAGCTCAGAGGAACACACTGCCTACAACTAAAAATGAGTTCAAGTTAAGCTGACCAAACAATACCAAATAAATCTCACCTCGAGAGTTTGGAAGCAGTCCGAGTTACCCCTTATAAATCAGCACCACTGAACTCTAAAACGCGAATCTCTCTCCCACGGTCCTGGGCTCATCTCCCACCCAGTCCATGCAGCAGACGGTTGTCTGTTGGGCGTCTATGCTCCTGGGGGACAAGGGGACTTCAGAAGTTTCCATTCTAGTGGGGGAGAAGCAGATACAAAAGACCTGTGGACATGAATTTACTCGAAGCCAAAGTGGCACAAAGATGTTACAAGGTGCACTGGGAAGCCGTCAGCCAAGGCTTCGTGAGGAAGGCAGCAACGAAAGTGGTCTTTGAACAGAAACTATTTCCATGGGAAGGGAAGGCGGGAAAGCGGGAAGTTGCCTGGGAACAGTGGCTATGTCATCTCACCAGAGCACAAGATGGGAACAGACATGAGCTGGGAAAGCCGGCCGGAGCAACCTCACCAGAGGGGCCTGAAGGCCGCATCAGGAGTTTACGTGCAACTTTTGAAGACCTCTGAGCAAGAAATGGATTGGATCAGATAAATACTTTAAAAGGGGAAAAACTCATCTAGGATCCTATCGACAAAAAGTAGGTAAAAAATAAATGAGGATTTTAACATATAAAAAGACTGGATTAAATGGGAGTTACAGAAAAATCAAGGACAGATGTCAGAGACAATGGGGAATGTGCCTTTAACAAAGAGAGAAGTCAAGAGAGACTGGTGTGAGAGGGAAAATGACCACATTAATTGCAAAACCCTACGGAGATCTCAGATGACTTGAACACCAAAAACAAGTACAGAATAGTGACAACCTGAGTCATCTCGCCCTAGTCCACTTTGATAAGAAGAATGTAAGGCCACAGGGCCCTCTGCACATGCGGGTCCTCCAGCCAGAGGTGGATGCCCTGCCCTATGAGGTTAATGCAGCTCAGAAAACACTTCTGAGAATTCCTCCTTGACCCTCCCCCCAGAGGGGATCAGCCCGTCACATGCTTTCACAGAAGAGTTCCTCTCTGTCACAGCTCTCATCTCAATTATATTAGGCATTTATTTTTTCTGTTTATTTGATTAATGTCGTCTCTCCATTAGTAGGCTGTGAGCTCCCAATAGGGTCCCCTATGCCTATGCAGCAAGTCCTGATGAAATCTGTGGAAGAGGACAGGCGGGAGGCGACTGTCTAGATTTTACTGAGCAGATGGTGTAGGAACCTGAAATCACATGCTACAAGGCAGGGCTGAAGCATGGACACGTTTGGCCCGAAGAGACGCCTCCTGGCAGATGGTGGTCTCCAAACGTATCTGAAGAGCTGTCATGAAAATGATGGATGAGCGGTGCACTGTGTGGTCTCAGGGGTAGGAAAGACCCAGGATTGATGGGTAAAAGTTCCAGAGAGACAGATCTCAGCTCAAGGGCTGGAAGAGTTTTCACACAGCTGGAGAAAATGAATGGCTCCTGGCAGCAGTGAGTCCCCATCACTAGATATGCTTGGTCAGAGGTGCACAGCCGCTCGGTAAGGCTGCCGTAGGAGACGAGCCCATGTGAGCATTCATACCAGAGGTGTTTCAGGGTCCCCCAGCCCCGCCTGAACTCCTGGCTGTACCAGTCATCCATTCGCTCCCTGTGCTGGGAGCTTATCTCACTCTGCCCCAACAGCCCACCCTTTCTGTCCCCTGTTCCTGTGGGCTATTCCTTCCTGCTCGGGCCTCAGCTTTCAGTGTATCCGCCTCACCCCAGGAAGCCTTGCCCTTCCTAATTTTGGTCATTCTTTACATGTTTGCCTAATCCCTGCCCTGTCTTCACAGCACTTATCTCTGACCACAAACATAACTAAAGCATTCATTGTTCCTTTACTGTCAGCCCATCAGCAGGCCCCCCGGGCGGGAAGGCGAACATGCTCTTGCCTGGAGCATGCCCAGCATCTAGCCAAAGCCTGCCACACAGTTCTTGCTCAAACATCTGTGAATAGCCATCCAAATATTCTGACTGGCATTTCTCAGAGAGTGACTCTTACAAAGCCTTTACGACCTTGCTCACCCACCTCTGGACACACTGGTTTGCCCCCCTTTCTCTTAAGTGTCTAGACCAGTGCTGGGCAAAGGGTAGTCCGCAGACCTTTCTACTATCAACTCACTGAGAAACATTTTATACAACAGCAAGCAGTCAGTTTTATGACTCTTGCACTAAACATATGGGATACTTTGTATCTCCCCCCATTCCTCTGTGTGTATGTAATGAGAGTACAATCCGCTGTACTGGGAAAAACTGGCCTGCATCACAGGCGAGTGGGTAACTTCACTAGCCGTAAGAAAAGTTACTAATGCATGGATCGACATGGGGAGTAAGACTGTACAGTCCTGATCCGGTGACAGCGGGGAAGTCCATTTGTCCCCTGACACTAACTCCATCTTGCTCACAATATATGCTCACCTCACACCTGAAAGAGATTCCTCAAAAACAGATTTTAACCGTTTTAGACAGCAATGACAGGTTCGATCCAGAGACCAACAGCCAGGGGGGAGACCAAGAGAAGAAAAGCACCCTCATATGTGAGAGTCTCACAACTTTGGCACTGTGCCCACTGTCCTTGTCCCTGGGCACCTCACATCCTGTTGACGCTGCTGTGAACACAGACCTAAGGTGCTCACCAGCCAAGCACATGAATATTTTGGCTCTAGTAAGCATGACACCAATACTGTCATTCACTGAAGGCTTAAACTTTGTGTCTAATCATGTTGACATACACGCGTTGCACACAAACACACACACGCACAAACACAATCATAAGAAACTGGGTCTCCATGAACTGAACCCTGCACACCAGCCTTTGGACCCCCCGCAGTTCATACCTCTGCCCACCTTCCCCTCAACTACCTCACACACCACATTCAAGGGGGTCTTGGCAACAGGGCAACCTCCTACCAAAGACTCTTGAAATTGGTTTTCCTTGATGGCTGGTTGAACTTGGCTTTATTTGCCCATTATTTCCTCAAAGATTCATCAGTGACTATTGATTATTGCCTTTTATTACATTACTTGTTAGCCCTTTATCCACTCACCAGTCAGCAGAGTACACACAGCTACCCTGCCAGCAAACACATCTAAGGAAAACCTATTGCGCTCTGGCCATCCCAGGCTGGACGCAGGGCGGCGCACCCAAGGCAACACATGACTCAGTAGTTCCTGGGCATTTCATCGGAAGGAATCTACCAGCTAACTAAGCATTTGCAACACTGCTCCACTCCCGGTCCTGCTCTTCTCTGGGCCTAGGTGTCGCTTTAAACTCTCAACACCTCTACTAGTTCCTGCTGTAGAGAAAAGCCTCATTTCATCATCAATCAAATTACTATGAAATAAATATTATAATGCATAAAAAGTGGAAGGGTAGAAATCTGTTTTCCTACAAGCAGGTGATGGGAACAAAGAGTTCCATCCTCATGCTCCTAGTTTAGCTAACGAGGCTCCAATAAAAATCACACAAGGGTGACCAGGTAGTTGAATAGGCCACTCAAAAAATGCAATAATGTTTGCTTCCAACTGTATGTGTCCCTCGTAAATACACAAAGGTAGAGGGTAGCAAAAACAAACTGAAGGCCTATGACATGTACCTCTGTTTAGAAAAATCAACAAAATTGGACCAGGCTTTCTGCCATCTTCTATCCCAGAGAAAGGCAGAGGACCTGCTGGGACATAAGACATATTTCAATTTTGCTTTGTAAAAAAATGGAGAACTTTAGGAATTCTTTGAACTCCCATTTCTAATTACTGCTAACATTATGGAAAACAAGCAATTTCAAGTGACTCTGGAGGGGTAACCAAAAAGGCTTTCAAATCAGAATGTGCCTTGTCCTTTAAACCTACCTTTCCTCCCCACACAACACCCTGCCTTTTGTAATCCTGGGCCCCTCGGGAGTCAGCCTACCCTTTACACAACTCTCATTTCCACCAAAATCAGAGAAAGGCAGCACTGAGCTGCGTAAAGAGACAACATGTTTCAGATTTCTGAGATTTCAAGAGTTCGTGCCAGCTTACTGCCCACAACACAGTCCTGCTGAAAATCCCCCGCAGTTACCCTCTAACCACATGGCAGAGCAGAGCAGCTTTCTGAAGAAGGGTCAGGGGAAGAGGGCCAACCACCCCTGGTTCTTGCATCGCTCCTCACTCTGTCTCCAACAGTTTCTCTCCAGAAATAACTGAATGCATGAGCTCACCCACAGTGAGAAGACAGAGGCATGACACCTACAAGGTGCCTATTTATAGAAAGTGTTAACACTCCTCAGGAAAAGACACTAGAAATCTCCTTGGAAACGCCCAGGCCTGTGCTCCCTTTGGAATTCTAGTCTGCTAATACCCATGACTAAGTAACCGCCTTGAAAATAAAACTGAGGAGTTGGAGGTACTTACGGTTTCCCCCCAGGGATTCCTGCCAGGTTGGGAGGGATCGTGGGTACTCGCATGTGAGGAGGAGGATCAAAACCAACCTGGAAACAAAATAAGGCATCGCTGACTCAGTTTACACAGGGGAGGCACTTGGTGAACATCTCCACAGACTACAGACTTCTCCCCGGAAACTCACAGATCCCCAAAGAGACATAAACAGAACAGTGACATGTGCTAGCATTTTCCAAAAAAGATATGTAATATGAGAAGTAACAGAATCACCTCTAACTACTATGAGACACACTTGTTTCTGGGGAGGTGGAATCAGTGGAATCTTCTGTGCACTGAGAACCAGCCTCCCATGGTCAATACTTCCTGTGGACTGAGGATGTTCTGCCTCATCCCAGTGAGGACACAGATCAGTCTGTCATCTCAGTCAGCATGTCTCAACCTCGACACTATCGATGTTTTGGGACAGACAGTTCTCTGTAGGGGGCTGTCCTGGAGGAGGCAGGGTGTTTAGCAGCCTCCTGGACTTGGCCTAAGTGCCAATCACATCCCCCATTTGTGATCATGAAAGTACCTCCAGACGTTACAAATGCCCCGGGGAGGCAAAACCGCCCCCAGTTTCATACCACTGGTTAAGTTAATCCTCAAGGATTCATACGTGATTTTGTGCCCTTTAATGACAGTACCTAGTCCCTCAACTACCCACTTTGCTTTAAACTACCCTGCCCTCCACGGCACCACCTATTAGGGCAACATAAGGGAAGAGTCAACAAATGAGAAATGCATAGGACATACTGCAAACAACCAAGAGGAAATGTTTACCGACTTCTGTTTGCTATGGGCTATCATCTACCTCCTCTTCCTGAGGCAGTCAAGGGCTACACATTCAATTTTACCCTTCACGTGCACTTCGGTATCTCCTGGTCAAAAATGAGGCTATTTGCAGTGACAGAGGGACCACCGTCCCATAGGTCCAGTCCCTTTCTGTGCTTCTGCTGGTTACACTTAAGCCATGCTATTGGGTTTAAAAAATAATATATGCATGGAAAGAGAAAGTTACAGCTTCTCAAATATTTTTCCCTAAGAATTAAAGAGAAAAAGAAAACAAATGAAAAGGCTTCTGTGAGCTACTTGAGTCATTTCATCACATTCCAAAAAAAAAAAAAAAATCTACTTTGGTGGGAGAAAGCCAGATGTCCCCTGAACCACTAAAGGAGCTTCTCCACACTGCCTTTTTTCATCCACAAAAACAGTAAAGCAAAAAGTGTCTGGTCGTAACTGAGGGAAGCGGCATGTGGATGAAGGCGAACAAGGTGAAGGAGGGCATAGCAAGGACAACGGGTCTTTGTTTCCCAGGTGGGGGGGCTGCCACCCTGCCCCCCACCCCGGCCCACCACGCTCCCAGTCACCTACCATGGGGGAGCGCCCATAGGCCACCACCGCAGCGGCAGCGGCGGCCGCACTCATCTGTGGGGACATGTTGTGGAGGCTGGCGTAGGCGGCACCAGGGCTGGTCAGCTCACCGTTCATGCCTGCATGGGGCACCATCCCGAACGGGGCAGGGTATGGGCCAGGCACCGCCAGGGGTGTCCTCAGGCCGGCCGCTACAAAGAAGCAAAGCCACACATAACTCAGAGGGCCGCTCAGGTCCAGCCTGGCTGGCCATCCCAGGACTGCTTTCAGTGCCACTCATGCGGGGGAAGGAGAAGGGAGGGAGGCTGGGGATGGTTAATCACCCCAATTCATACACAAGACCCCTTCTCCCCCAGAGAGGAGTTCATCTCCACACACTCCCTCCTTGGTAGTACTGAAACCAGGGGAAAAGAGTAGCATTGCTGCACCCAATTCACACCAGGCAAACTGAGGCAGACACTGCCTGTTCACCTGACGTAACCTCAAAAGAAGGTGTTTTTGATCAAATCCAAGATTTTTCCTTCCGTCCGAACCTTGTCCGAACCTTCCATTCCCTGGGACCAATCCAAATGAAAACCCGACCCTGGATTTATGTAAACCAAAGCACAGGTTTATAGGGTATATTCTGGTGCCTATTTTCCTTTGAGCCTTGGGTGTTACTTTTTTCCTTTCTCTGTGAGGAAGATCAAGTTGAAGGTTACGAGTTTATTCACGGGCTGGAGTCTCAGTGAAATTATCCCAATTTCTTTTTTTTTAAATCTGTTTTTATTGATTTGAGGAGAAAGGAAGGGAGAGACAGAAATATCAATGTGAGAGAAGCATCCATCAGCTGCCTCCTGCAGGCCCCTCACTGGGGATCAAGCCCGCAACCCGGGCATGTGCCCTGACCAGAGCTCAAAACAGGACCTCTCCGTCCATGAAACAATACTCAGTCCACTGATCCACACCAGCCAGACAAAACTCCCCCAATTCTCCTGAAGGAGAGATCCCGGATTCCGACGGACGGGCTGGAAACTAGCTGATTACATAAGCAAGAAGCAACTTGGGCTGGCCAAACAGGTTATTTCAGTCAGTGTTACTGAACTCTAGACACACAATACTAGTTTGGGAAGAAGCTTACATTCAGGATAATTATCAAAAACGTTATTGAAGTCCCAGGATTTGGATTATTTGCAAATAAAAGTCAAATGTAAACAGCTAGATATCGAATAGGGTGCAGCTGCTAAAACCCAAGGATGAACATCTGTGTCCTATCAGGGCTTTGCAGAGACAGGAAGGGGGGACACAGGCAGTAAGTACACTTCGTGTTCGTGGGGGAAACTTCGTCACAACGTGAACAGACGACGGATCAAGCTGGGAAAGGAAAAACAAAACAAAGCACAATAAGAGGTGATGCTCTACCCGCTTGGTTAACGAGGGGGTCCATGGCTGGAGGCTTGCCGAGGCCTGGACGGAGTCCTGGAGTGGCGCTGGTGCCCGGCGTTGGCATGTCGCTCCGAGGCGTCGGTGTGCTGGATTTCAGAACAGGCGTGCTGGCTTTTTCATGCTGGTATCATTAGACAAATTAAATGAGTATTATTTTTAATCCAAGCCATATTACACAATTTATCACATCAGCAGCTGGGACACTGGGCACCTTCTAGCTACTCCCTCAGCCAATTTTCATAAATCCACACGATGTTGACAGCATTAACTTGTGAGCGAGAAATGCTGACCTTTCCTCTTCCTGCCAGAATTAAAACTCCAGCTAGAGACACAGAACACGATCACACTTCTTCCTCCGCAAATTTTATTTTTAAAAGTATTTTTCCATCAGGCTTGTGGACTTTGGATCTAGGCCAAGTTAGAAGGATGACCGTCCAGAGAAAAGCTCCTGGTCACTCAGAAACAAATGCGCAGTCACCAAGAATGTCAGAGAGAAGACCCCTTTTCTAATCTTGCCTTTGGTGCCTGTGGGAGTGATACTAATGGTGAGACAGTGGGTCCCTGACTTTATGAGACGCAAACAGCATCCCAGAGGCAAAAGCCCTCGACCAGTCCCATCACTGTGTCTGAGAGATGTGCCTAAAATGAACGGATGGCTCTTTGGAGTTAAGCATCACTGCCCGCTTGCCTATATAACTAGTGCGGACCATTAGTGCAGAAGCCAGAACAATAACAGGGTTATAGGGCATCTTCTTTTGCCTCTCAACCTTTCACATCCTTTAAATCGGTCTGACAAGCGCTATGGCGCAGTAGCAAAGAACATGGGATAGAAAGAGACCCAGCTCTGTCTGGCTTTGGGTCTGATGGGCTGCATAAACCGGCAAGTTCCCAGGCTTCCCTCCCCATCAGTGAAACGGCACAAGGAGTACAGACACTGTGTGAGGATTAACTGCAGGGCTGTTACGGCTGTTATTGTGAGTTAAGAGAAGACACACTCCACAGTGTTGGCCGAGTGACTGACAGCATGAACGGGCTCCACATCCACCCCCTTCTCGAGTTCCAGGCTTCCCCCAGTGCCACCCATCTACATCACCAAACTGACCAGCAACCTAATCACAACATGCCCCGACAGGATGGTTCAGTGTAAAACCAGGTAAAATGGACAGCTTAAGAAAACGAGGACTTCCCTGGCCAGTTTTGCTCAGCGGTTGGAGCGTCGGCCTACGGACCAGAGTCCCGGGTTCGGTTCCCGCTAAGGGCACGTACCCCCCCCCCCACCAAAAAAGAAAGAAAACGAGGACTTCTCAGGACCTAGAAGGTTTCAACTATTTGCTAACTGGACGTTTCAGAGAGCCTGTGCAAGGAACATATCCCCCAAGTAAGAAGGTGATGGACATGGACGCTCTCTCTGATCACGGTCCGAGACAGAAAACTGAGAGGGGAAGAGTAACGCTGTTATGGAGCAAAGAGCAGAAGAATGAGTGTCAATTTCAAACAATTAAAAATATAATTCTCAATCAGTAAAAACCCCACATTTCAAACACTTTAGGGTCCTCTGGTCCACAAAGAAAACTAATCTACTAAACAGGCGAGTGAGGGTTCTCACTACCTACCAAGCTCATTTCTTTGGATTTCAAAGAAGTGGAACTTCCCGAGGAGGCTGTGGACGCAGGGCTGCTAGAAGCATCTTTCTTCAGCAGGCGGGTCTTGTCGATGCCGTTTTCCCTGGGCGAGTGGGTGGGGCTTGCTCTTGGAGAAGAAGGGTCCTCAACAAGCATAAGCAAAGTGTCCATGATTTTGCTTACGAGGGACAGCTCCTTCCCTTACACACTCTTATTTCCACACTAACTCCTGACCAGTGTGCTCAGTGGTTAGAGCATTGGCCCGTGGACCCAAAGGGTCACGGGTTCAATTCCTGGTCACGGGGATGTACCTGGGCTGCATATTCAATCCCCCGCCCAGATGGGAGGCAACCAATCTATGTCTCTCTCTCTCACATGGATGTTTCTCTCTCTCTCCCCCTCCCTTCCCCCCCTTCCACTCTCTCTAAAAATCAGTGGAAAAAATATCCTTGGGTGAGGATTGAAAAATAGAATAGCATAGCATAGCATAGAATAAAATAAAATGTAAAGGAAATGCTGAAAGTCCTTTAGATTCAAGGGACCCGAGGGTATGGGTACTAACACTGTTCTAATTAAAAGGATGGTATTTGCAGACACACCCAATCAGACACCATAAAGGGGGGAAATCCAGGGGCCAGCACATCCCTCCTGTTCAAATACTTTGCCTAGAGGGCACAGGAAGGAAATGAGCACAGAGACCCAACTTAGGACACCCGGAATGACCAGGGAATCAGACTCTTTAGAGGAAACAGACGTTCCGAGTCGGTTAAAACATTACTGCTCCATCCTAGACAACTGTTAAATGCTTGATGTGTGAAAGGTGCCAGAAACCCAAACACTGTGGGCTCCCCTTCCTTTTCTCACAAGTCACTCTGAACATAAAGTCTGATCAAGAGTATAGTTACCTCATTAGACACATCCACAACTAAATTGTCATCGCTTTTGTCACCATCGCTGTCCTGGGAAAAAAAAAAGTTTTAAGCCACTTGTTAAAGATTTGAGGCTCAGTTAAATGTCTCTAGGTATTGGTATCAGGCAGACTAAAAGCCACCTGGGACATGCCTACAGGCTCCTTTCCAGACTGCCAGCCCTAGTAATGAATCCCCCTTCTCCCCTTCCTATCTGACCTGAGGCTACACAAAGCCCTAGGCAGGAATTCTGTGGCAACAGCATAACAGTTATATAATCACAGCCCGCAGCTTGGCACATAGTATGGGTTCAATAAATGTTTGCGAGCTGAATCTCCTTTATGATCTGAAACCTGCATTAGGTCAGAAGCCTCTTCCCATCGGATTTCAAATTAAGAACAGAATCTCATGTCCCTGCTTTTATGTGCATCACCTTGAAGACAACCAACAAATCGTATACTCGTAGACAGTTCAGAGTTATAATGACCAACTCAAACCATGTTCCCATGGGGTGACTAATTACTGCAAAAAAATAAAATTAAAGCAAATAAACACCTAAAAACAACAAAACTAGTTAATGGCTGGAATAACATACCAAGATCTGACCCCATGTTAAGAAGAAACCTCTTTATCAATCAGCTGGGAATATTTCTGAAGAGATGGAAGGAAGACAAGATGCAATATCTAGAGGGCACCATCAGCAGGGAGAAGTGCTCATTGTCTCTTCATAAAGCCATAAAATTTAGTAGTCAGAGGAAACTCCGAGGTTGCATTGACTTTGACAAGGCTTCAGAAAAGCTGTCCAATTTAATGTGATCACTCCTACAAGTTTGAGGCAGGCTGAAAAGGCTACTTACTTTCTCAGCCAAAAAGTCTGACGTCGATGAGCATAATGAAAAAGCAGGCTATCGCAATGGGTCCTATAATTCTCAAAAAAAAAAAGTAGGACTGCAGTTTATAATCTAAACAGCCCTTTTAATGATGTCCTTGTCAATTAAGAATACACAAGTAATGTTTCAGAAATATTAGTACAGTGCAAATATTACCCACATTGGCCTTCTGTGGGATACAAGTCAAGGCTGAAAAGTTACCCTCAATGTGAAAGTCATCTTAAATGTTTTCTCTAACCATACCTAGAGCATTGCATGTGGGAGACCTAATTAACTTGCTTCAATAATGTGTCAGGGGTGGGAAACATCCGGCCCTTGAATGTAAGGCCCTAGAAATCAACACCAGCTAACATCACACGCCTCACCAAATTAGCCTGATGAAATACAGCAGGCTAATCTTTAAGTTGATAATTTTGTATAGCCAGTGAATGATGTTATAAATATCCAAATAGCCCTCAGCAGGAAAAGAGGTTCCCCACCCCTGCTTTTCATAAAGATGCCATGCAATTCACTAGTAACATAAAATTACAACCAATAAGAAAGCCCAGGTAATTCAAAATAGTCCATTAAAAGAAATATTTTCATGTAATAAAAGAAAATATCAATACTAAAGAAAATTTGCTTTTGCTTAGTTAAGCCCACAAACAAGCATAAATGTTTTCAGGTATGCAGAACCCGAAGATGGTACAGTGAAAATATAAACAACAGAACTTTGAAGTGAGTCCCTAAGTATTCTGCAATTTAAATCTCAGCTTTGTATTGAATCTTTCTGCAAAGATTCACAGTACAGTATGCCCATTATGGGTCGGAGGCCTTTGCCTCAGATTCTTCAACATCACCTCAATACATCACCCTCAACCACTTATACAACTAGACATACACGCATGTTACAAAACAGTCACACAGAGCTATGGATTGTAGCTTACTATAGTAGCTCACTTACTATTAAATACTATACATAAGCAGAGCAACTTGGAATTGTGTTGACAAATTTCCAAATGTCTGCACATCATGGACTTAGCTGAATAGCTGATGCTGTACTGAAAAGTACCTGCACGGGACACTGGCTCTGGGCAAAAGATTAGGGGCAAACATTGTTTGTGAAAAGGCTTGGGTTGGGGAGAACCAAAAACCAGCCTTCTTAGAATATTATTATAATGCAAAGTGTAGAGCAATTCAAAGAACCTCTGACAAATATCCACCCTAAGCCCTGGATTTGGGAATCCAAGCAGAGTGATTAAGAGATGGATTCTGGAGTCAGACTGCCTCCAGGCTCAGCCACTAACTCTGACCTTGGGAAAATCACTTACAAGGTCTGTGGCTTCAGTTTGTTTATAAAATGGAGGTGATGGTACCAAACTCACAGGGTTGTTTTAAGGGTTAAAGAAAATAATCCTTATAAAAGCACCCAGTAGCTGACACTAACTTGAGTCGCTGCTCAAAAAATGTTAGCCATTGTTAGCTACAGGCTTGAGCCAGCTAGCAGGAGGCGGAGGCCAGGCCTAGGGTGTACATCCTGCACCCCAGTCAGCCAGAGGGGAACTTCTTCCTCCAGGAGCAGTAGGAAGTGGCCCGATTCAGCTTTCTATTCTCCCACTATTCCTCAGAATGTGTTCATTCTGAAATAGACAGTCAGGATTACAAGGAAACTCCAAGTTAATCTGTCAGCTGCAATGTTTATGATGCCAAAAACAGAGCCAAGGGCCATTTGGCTTGGTGTGCTCTCCATGTGAATGCGGTTTTAGCCAGACCTGAGTCAACAGTCCTCACTCCACCCACCACCATGTGAGCTCACCTGCAGGATCTAGACTAGATGCCTTCAATGCTTCTTCCATTTTTAGCACTAAATTGCTGTGGAAGAGGATGGTTTCTGCCTGAAGACCTGATATGAGCTTGAACATACTATCAGAATAGCATTCAAAAAGGTATTTTGTGACACCATAAATCTTACCCTGACCATTTTAGCAGCATAGGCTCAGGACAAAATGAAAATGCAGGCCTTTGTTCAAAACTTGAGGACTTGAAGATGGCTGAGAGCAGAGGATTAAAACCAAGGGTGAGACAGGGTCCTTTTCCAAGCAGGGCTCTATGCAATTGCACAGACTGCACACCCATGAAGCCAGCCCTGCATTCTTGTATTCCTGCTTTAGAGTAACTCAGGTAGAAAGTCTAGAATTTAATACAGAACCTGGCAGAAGGACAATTTACAGCTCTACAGGGAAATAAAATCCTACAGCATAAGAATCTATCCTCTTTATGGTATTATTTTAAGAGAAGTGGATTATCACTAAGATCTTGGAGTATGTTTGTATACTCACTTAGAAAATAAGCAAGCAAGCAACAAATATTATTTCCAAGTCCTTTATTTACTTACATAGTGGCTGGAGTCCTTATCATCCACCTTTCTTTTTTTGATGTCATTGGAAAACTCAGGCCCATTTCTGCGTTTATCTGTTCCTCTTAGACTGTCTGGGACCAAGAGGGAATTACTCTGCAAGACAAAAAAATTAATCAAAGAATTCTTCCCAGGTCTCCTTGTACACATAAAGACCCAACCTGAATGTGATAGCTGTTTTAGACAGATGATACCTACACATGGCCTTTCATTCCACTTAATTCATCTCATCTTTAGACTAGATGGCAAACATTTATAGAACTTTAAGCACTTAAAAGGGAGACCCTGACTATGCAATCAAAGCATCCTTCAGGCCCTACTCACTTAAAATGTTCTGTTCTGTTAACTATTAAGAGAAACAGGAGCTTGCTGTTTATATGTGGACGTGTTTTTATTCTTTCCCACTGCAACTTCCTGGTCAATAACATGAATGGCCTATGTGCAGAATCTGAGGTTATTCTATTAGACTTATTCATGGCTGCAAGTCAGTGTGTGCAACTCTAAAAAAAAAAAAAAAAAAAATGCGAAGAGAATAGATGGGATTAACAGCATGGTTTCCTAAAAGACAAATCAACACTGTCCATAGCAATAATGAAAAAACTCCTCTGAATTCCCTTTAATTTATTGTTGAAAATAAGATTTGATGTTCCTCACCAAAAGCACCGAAATTTAGGACCCAGAGTGAATCTTCACTGGCCAGGCCAGTTCCCACACACAAAAGCAGAAATAAGGACTAATCTTTTCCACAAACCACACAGGACACTTTCATTCGCATGTGCTGAGTGAGAGCTGTTGACCCAAAGAAAAGAGGCATTTTAGATATTTGGGGGTCACATGACCTGATCTGACAGCCCGTCAATTCCCATCTCCTCTCGGGCTAAGCCCGGAACATGTTACAATGAGTTATTTTAAGTGCAGGATTAGCATATGCAAGGGGGAAATTTGTTCAGTGATGTGTTACAACCTTGAACAATGCTGAATGAGCTGTGCAGAAACCTCCTTTCACAAAGCACAGATACCCCAATTTCTGAAAGATGTTAGAGAACTAAGAGGAGGGTGCCCAGGGCCAACAGACAATTATGTTACCTTTCTCTGCCACAATTCGACAGAGAAGGGTCTGAGGACCACCTTTGCTAGACCACCTCCAAGGCCATTGTATCTACCAGGAGCCAATTGTTTGCGCACATTTTTAACCACAGCGGGTATCCCTTCCTAGCTAGCCTGCAGTCATCAGCCAGGTGGCTGGCCCTCAAGGTTCCCCAGTGACAACTGTGGATCCCACCACAGGGGCATCCACAGCTCAACCACATGCAGGAAAAAATAAAAACTGGAAACCAGAAGGCACTCTGAAGCCTCTTTGCCCACTTCAGGGGCTGACTCTGACATGAGCTGAGCTTTTCATTCATGACTGTTCAAGCTACACAAATGCCAGGAGGCTTCATAAAAACAATGGAAGAACCAATGCAATTCAATAGAGAAGCTCAGAGTAATGTCTTTAGCACAGAGTGGGGGGGCTGAAAGGTGAGCTGGCTGAATCCCTGAACTAATTACCTTGGTAAATGTCTGCTAAAAAATTAACCCCTCGAACCTAGATCCACCTGACAAGATGCAGACTTACTAAAAGTTCTGCAACGTGCAAACACACACTCAGAAAACTGAGCCACGGAGGGCAGTAGCAGCTTGTACTTAAGTAAAAAAAAAAATGTCCAAATACACCTGTGTTATACATTATATCAGACCCAAAGTCTCCTCTTCCAGACTCTGAGCAGATACATTTAAGGGCAGGGCTGTATCCAATTTACATCTGGCCAAGTGCCCAGAACCCCAGAGTTAGTCTCCGCTGGCTTAACGTCTGCCATCAGTGTGTCACCTTCATAGCCCTTCTGCTGTACCTACCACTGGGCGTCCAAACCACTCAGCCACTCAGAGACAGCTCTGAATAATCTCATTTTTTTTAATGTCAAGTGGCAATGCAAACATAAAAGTAAACATCACTTCTGTTAGAAACAATACAATTTTTGTTGGAAACAATGCATTCCTATGGCTGGACCTATAATTATGTCAAGTTCTGAGGCCTCCCGTCTACTTATTAGAAGTTACTACTGTACCGTAATTCCTACTTGAGCAGCTTAAATGAGGCCTGCCATCTGAATGAGTTTTTGAAAAATCTCTGAAAAGTTACTCTAAATTTAGACAAGGCTAGTAATTAGCACCCCTGCTTATCTGAAAATTGGCTGCATTCAAATGCGGACTTAGACAAGTTACAAAACAAAACATCTCATCATACCTTTGGTTCTGTAAAACTGATTCAAAACAAGGGAGTGGAGCGTGAAGGCTGGAAAGGCCTAGAGCCGGTTAGCAGCCAGGGGGGCTCCTGGCTCCTGCTGCAGCCCCGCCAAAAACGGACAGCTTCCTTTTACCCTTGTCCCCATGAGCTCAGTTTTCTGCGTGTAATTGCCCGACATCCTCCCAGCTCTGACACTGCCTTCATTGTTGTTCTTGATTTAAGCAAACAGTTTCAGTCTAATGAACTTCACATCAGCAACAATAATTTTTTGGTTAACTACTGCCTAGGTGACATCAAGCTTTCTGGTTCCTTCATATGCTCCCCAGGAACCCAACCAAAAGTGCGTTCATGGGTATTACTGGATGTCTCATGATACCATAAGTCTTTTCCTCTCGTGGTGTGTTTTCCCCCATGTACCTTCTAATGGCTCAGAGGTGATATAGAGTCATTTTGATGGTCATTATGAGCAGTTTTACATATTTTAAGAATAAAGAGATTATACCCAGGTACTGACTTAATATCCTTTAGATATTTCAAAATTTAGGGCTCTATCTCTATTTATTAGATTTGGACTAGGTTAAGGTACAATCACATTTCACATTGACATTATTTAATCAATATTTAAGAAGAGACCATAGCAAAAGAATGAAACCGAGGCTGCTTCGTTTTATTATTTTAAAAGTTGTGCATTCTAAACACAGAAGATAATTAGAATCAAATCTCTGACAAGGCCAAAGCAACCTTACCAGACATATTGTTCACCCCCTCGTCCCCTCATTTTATTGGGAGGATGCCCAGAGAGGGGAGGCGATTTTTCTCAAGTCAAGAAGCTCTTCCCATTGAGTCAAAGTGCCACTCCCAGAAGAGTGATTTTTAAACTCAATGTATGTACTTGAATACTTGTACCCAAATACTTGGCCAAAAAAACACTTATCACTTACAAGTTACCCTGGCTCCTTAGCCTATGAAGCTTAATTAAATTTCTACTGGACAGAATAATGCCTAATATATGTTGCATGCTTTCTGTTCCCCCTCCTAACCACACACACACACACACACACATACACACCCTCTAATTCACTTGGTTGTTTTTCCACAATCCCAAAAATGTGAACATAGAAATTTTAAAATGAACATTTCACAGCCTACTTTAGAAAGACCTAAAAATAGTGTCAAATTCCGACATTTGCATCCATGAGTCCTACCATTATAACCCAACATTCATACAAAAAAAGAAATCAGCAGAGAACAAAATAGTCCAGGTAACCACAGCACCAGTTTCACATGGTGGCAATCATGGCCAATAGTAACCCCACAGACCTATTTACCACCACATACCTCTCTTCACAGAGTCTGTTTTGAAAGATTTTAATGTGCCAAACATCATTCATCAAGTACAATTCATTTTTCCAATATTTATTTGCCAAATTTAATCGTGAATCAGAATTTTTCTGATCAGCGTGAGAACTTATGTTACCACACTGACCAATATATTCTAATTCTAGCCAAGAAACTCAAAGTTTTATTTCACCTTATAGCTGGTAAAATTTAAATATCTGCCAGAATTTTTCAATTACTTTAATTATCAGCAGACTTCTACTACAAATGTCCTGAAGGCTGGGATTTTCAGACTGCATATATGTTTTCTTTTGCTTTAAACTTCTGTTAAGAACCAAAAACAAACAAACAAACAATCACCTTATTTACCTGATGTCTTCTACAAGAACTCAAAATAGGAGTTTTATTCAGCCTAGGGGGGTATTTAAATCTGAGCAAATCAAGATCTGAAAACCCATTATGATTTCAAAATAAACTAAAATTCTAAAACCATGATGATGTGAAATGAGAAAGGGGAGCCCATCTGACCCGTCTCTATAGGAAAATGAAGCCCCTGGAAAATTTAGTACCAGAGACAGAAAGAGGGTCCAGAAGACCTATTTGCCCAACTGGCATGACTTTCTCTCCGTTTTATGTGGGAACTACACATGAAATGACTAGATGAGGTGCAAGAATAGAGAGAACATGCTCCACAAGGGAGACCTCTCCCAAGTAAGGAAAAGTTGTGGTTCTCTGAGAATATAAAATCCCAGTGAACCTGTTCGTTGGCAGCAAGGAGACTGTTCGCTGTGACCAAGATCTGCTTCCTGAGGGTCACTTCTGCACTCACAGTGATGTCATGGTTAAGGGCACCAGTGAGGGCAAACAAAGGTGCTCCTCAGAGAGAAGAAAGAGTAGCAGACTTTCCAACATTAGAACCCGTGTGCACTCCTTGAGCGGTCAAATCCAGCGCAGCTTCCTAACCAGGTCAACCATGTTTTGTGAAAACATACACCAGGAACATTCTCTGGTATTGTTCAATGGAATCAAGTTAACTAAATAGTTAGTTGATCGTGGGTTCGAACTTAGTAGGTAGAAGTAGACAATATATTCTCTTAAATTGAAGCAAAGGTAAACAAACATCCAAATGCAATTACTAAACCGTACCTTCACGTAAGAACTTACCACATAAGTAGAAGAGTCTGTTGAACCTAAGAGCGTTCAGTCACATCAAAAGAAAACATCGAGATTTGGATTTTATGTTTGTTACCTTTCTTCTGACCATTCCAGACGATGTTGTTTCTATTTCAAGCTCTGATTATCCACTCAAGACTAAGATAGAGACACCAAGCTGCTTCAATATGCATAAAACCAGTCTTCAGAGTCTTATTCCAAGAATTTTACTTTTCTTTCAGCAGTTTAACAGTAACACTTGCTCGTGTATGCTGAGATATTTTGGAAGGTAAACTCCAGAAAAGATGAAAGAAGGCAA